TCTCCTGAAATACTCTGCGCTGCTGGAGGACTCCGCTCCTTCCTCTATAACTCTCCTCTCCTGAAATACTCTGCGCTGCTGGAGGACTCCGCTCCTTCCTCTATAACTCTCCTCTCCTGAAATACTCTGCACTGCTGGAGGACTCCTCTCCTTCCTCTATAACTCTCCTCTCCTGAAATACTCTGCGCTGCTGGAGGACTCCGCTCCTTCCTCTATAACTCCTCTCCTGAAATACTCTGCACTGCTGGAGGACTCCGCTCCTTCCTCTATAACTCCTCTCCTGAAATACTCTGCGCTGCTGGAGGACTCCGCTCCTTCCTCTATAACTCTCCTCTCCTGAAATACTCTGCGCTGCTGGAGGACTCCGCTCCTTCCTCTATAACTCTCCTCTCCTGAAATACTCTGCACTGCCGGAGGACTCCGCTCCTTCCTCTGTAACTCTCCTGAAATGCTCTGCTCTGCAGGAGGTCTCTTCTCCCCCCACAGGCATACAGGTCTTATCTTCTAGGTATACAGAATGAGACTTCTCCTCTGTCATGATCTCTTGGCACCACCTGCTGGACATTCATAGATCTGCAGAACAGAAATCAGGAGACTCTGTTAAGGGAACATCACAAAGTGCAGCAATCAGTCTGTGGCAGAGCCAGCCGCTTCGTCCGATGATCACCGCCCACTGACAGTGATCAAGAGAGCAGCAAGTTCTTGTAATGAGCTCCTGTGTCTTCTGGGCTTCAATAATGAAAGGAAAAGAGATGAGAGCGTTCTTCACCCCCGCCATCAGAAGGAGTCACACCAGGTGAAGATAAAAATCAGACTTTCAGTGGAGATGGCAGGCCTGTAAAATTGTGGGTGGGGGAGGGAGGTATATGGGTGAGAATTACAGAAGACGTCCGTTCAGGGGCACTTCCAGTGCAGTATTCATTGGGGGCGATGGGTGGAGTAGAAGGGGCAGGGGGTGGAGTCTGCAGGGTGGCAGAATGTGAGGAGTGTTGTCACCCTCATGAGGATGGAGGACCATATAGGGGCTTCTTATGGGTGTTGTCACCTTTTTGTTCTGTGAGGAAATCTTTATCAGTGCCCAGAGCCAGGCAGATGAATCCCAGGATGGGGGGCGGGGAGATAGATGTCATCGCACACATTTCAGCAGCCATGGTCCAAGCTCTGACAGTCCATTGTTACATAGGAGCTGTCCCTGACACTCAGTACTTGTGAGCAGTCTCTGACAGTCCATTGTTACATGGGAGCTGTCTCTGACACTCTGTTGTTACTTTTGAGCAGTCTCTGACAGTCAGTTGTTACTCAGTCTCCAACACTCCATTGTTACGTGGGAGCAGTCTCTGACACTCCATTGTTACGTGGGAGCAGTCTCTGACACTCCATTGTTACATAGCAGAAATCTCTGTCACTGTTAATTGTGAGCAGTCTCTGACAGTCAAGTGTTACTCAGCCTCCAACACTCCATTGTTATGTGGGAGCAGTCTCTGACACTCCATTGTTAGGTGGGAGCAGTCTCTGACACTCCATTGTTATGTGGGAGCAGTCTCTGACACTCCATTGTTACATGGGAGCAGTCTCTGACACTCCATTGTTACGTGGGAGCAGTCTCTGACACTCCATTGTTACGTGGGAGCAGTCTCTGACAGTCCATTGTTACGTGGGAGCAGTCTCTGACAGTCCATTGTTACGTGGAAGCAGTCTCCGACACTCCATTGTTACGTGGGAGCAGTCTCCGAGAGTCCATTGTTACGTGGGAGCAGTCTCTGACAGTCCAGTTACCCTGGAGCAATCTCTGACAGTCCATTGTTACGTGGGAGCAGTCTCTGACACTCCATTGTTACGTGGGAGCAGTCTCTGACAGTCCAGTTATGTGGGAGCAGTCTCTGACACTCCATTGTTATGTGGGAGCAGTCTCTGACAGTCCATTCTTATATAAGAGCAGTCTCTGACAGTCAGTTGTTACTCAGTCTCCAACATCCCCTCCATTGTTATGTGGGAGCAGTCTCTGACAGTGCATTGTTACATATCAGCAGTCTCTGACACTCCGTTGTTATGTGTGAGCAGTCTCTGACACTCCATTGATACCTGGGAGTAGTCTCTGACAGTCCGTTGTTATGTGTGAGCAGTCTCTGACAGTCAGTTGTTACTCAGTCTCCAACACTCCATTGTTATGTGGGAGCAGTCTCTGACAGTCCATTGTTACGTGGGAGCAGTCTCTGACAGTCCAGTTACGTGGGAGCAGTCTCTGACAGTCCAGTTACGTGGGAGCAGTCTCTGACAGTCCAGTTACGTGGGAGCAGTCTCTGACACTCCATTGTTACGTGGGAGCAGTCCCTGACACTCCATTGTTACGTGGGAGCAGTCCCTGACACTCCATTGTTACGTGGGAGCAGTCCCTGACAGTCCAGTTACGTGGGAGCAGTCTCTGACAGTCCATTGTTATATAAGAGCAGTCTCTGACAGTCCATTGTTATATAAGAGCAGTCTCTGACACTCTGTTGTTACTTTGAGCAGTCTCTGACAGTCAGTTGTTACTCAGTCTCCAACACTCCATTGTTATGTGGGAGCAGTCTCTGACAGTGCATTGTTACGTGGGAGCAGTCCCTGACAGTCCAGTTACGTGGGAGCAGTCTCTGACAGTCCATTGTTATATAAGAGCAGTCTCTGACACTCTGTTGTTACTTTGAGCAGTCTCTGACAGTCAGTTGTTACTCAGTCTCCAACACTCTATTGTTATGTGGGAGCAGTCTCTGACAGTGCATTGTTACATATCAGCAGTCTCTGACACTCCGTTGTTATGTGTGAGCAGTCTCTGACACTCCATTGATACCTGGGAGCAGTCTCTGACAGTGCATTGTTACATATCAGCAGTCTCTGACAGTCCATTGTTACGTGGGAGCAGTCTCTGACACTCCATTGTTACGTGGGAGCAGTCTCTGACAGTCCATTGTTACGTGGGAGCAGTCCCTGACAGTCCAGTTACGTGGGAGCAGTCTCTGACAGTCCATTGTTATATAAGAGCAGTCTCTGACACTCCATTGATACCTGGGAGCAGTTCCTCATCACATCTGTTTTACATATATTTTAGTTAGGCACATTATTCCCGCCTTCCTATTCCAGTATCTCACCTTTACCTGCAGACGGGGGGGTGATTTACTAAAACTGAGGTGCTCAGAATTTGGGTCAGCTGTGCACGGGAGCCAATCGGCTTCTACCTTCAGCTGGTTCAATGAAGCTTTGACAGTAAAACCTGGAAGCTGATTGGCTTCTCTGCGAAGCTGCACCAGATTCTGCACTCTGTGGTCTCTCACCTTTACCTGTAGCCGGAGGCGGGGATCATTCTATGCACATTGCCCCATCCTCACCATTAGGGGGCGACATTCTGATTTCTCACTCTGGTCCCCGTATGGCAGATATCGGGGCGAATGCTATTTTTCACGTCACCCCCAACGCACTCAGCACCCGATCTTTGGTTTAACCCCCTTCAAGTGGGCTTTAATGCCCAGGAAGCAGCAGGGCTTCTTTGTCATGTGACTGCCGTGATTGGCTCTCGCAGTGGTCACATGATCACACACCTTGACGGACAGCCGTAGTTGACAGCTCTGTCAGCATGTTGGGTGCGCGCTCAGCACACCAACCCCCATGTTGCTGTAGAATAGATACATACATGCAGCGGCTGGGCATTAAGGCCCAACATTCTTGCCATGGCATATATACGTGGTCAGCGAGAGGTTAAGTGGTCAGATATTGGCAGGAAAGGCCCGCCCCCCTCCCGCTCCCAGTCTGAGCTCTGCTGGGGAAGCGGTTCACAGGAGGCGGATAGGAAGGCACAATCAGGTACTTATACAAGTTCTATTCTAATACACAATTCATTTCTAACACATACAGAAGTTCCACATCACAGATCCGAAGACAAGTCCGTACATAAGAAGGACGCACCGGATACCCTGCGTCCCTCCAGGACTGGGCGGAGCCCGAGGCTGTGGCGTGGTTGGCAGTAGACAGGTGCGGTTTGTTTTGTCCTGAATCGAAATGCGGGTAAATTTCTTATTTTTCAGATATTCAGATGTATCCGAGTTTCCGAATTACAACAGTAATGAATTTAAATGAATCCGAAATATTGAATTAAAAAAACAAGGACTCAAAAAAGAACAGAATAGAATAGAAAAAAAAAGGAATAGAATATATAAATATATAAATTCGAATGTTGAATAAAATCCATTTTTGAATTCAAATGCCAATTCGATACTATTCAATTCGATCGAACTTCGGGAAATTCGAATAGATTTAAAAAAAAAAAACCACAACTTTTTCTGAAAATGAATTAAAGTAATAGAAAATAAAGGGAATAGAATAAATGAAAATAGAATACAACAGAATAGAATCACATAGCATAGAGAATAAAGGCATATAATCAAATAGAATAAAACAAAATAGAATAGAGAACATAACCATCTTCGGAAATTTGAATGCCGAATACAATACATTTGAATTCGAATGCTGATTGGATACTATTCAATTCGACCAACGAAACGAATCAATGAAACGAATACCAAAAATTAATTAAACGAATTTAAGTAAATTAAATTTTTTAAATAGATTGGAACAAACAATTTTTATCATTCTGCACATGTCTAGTTGGCAGATACGGGGGGGGGGGGGGGGGAGGAGAAGATGGTTTTCACATTACACCTGTTGATGATTAATTTCCATCAAACTCGCCGTCACCAAAACCACATCCCCCGACAGCGGAGGACGGTTCTCCCAACGATTTGTATATTCGACTTACAGGGAGATGTATACAAATACCAGGCCGGCGCTCTGCGCGGATTCACCGCATCGCGTCCCGGGAGAATTTTACTTTGCAATTCCTCTTTGCATGATTTCTCCGATAACATTCCACGTCACAGTTCCACCTGCAACATGGCAAAGGGTTAAAAAAAAAACCTTGCTGACCTCCGGCTCCTCCCCTCTAGGCTTACACAGGTGTATATGCTCCTCCCCTTCAGTCTTGCACAGGTGTGTCGGTTGCTTCTCTCCTTCGGGTCTTGCACAGGTGTACCGGCTCCTCCTATTCGGTCTTGCACAGGTGTACCGGGTCCTCCCCTCCAGTCCTGCACAGGTGTACCGGGTCCTCCCCTCCAGTCCTGCACAGGTGTATTGGCTCCTCCCCTCCAGTCTTGCACAGGTGTACCGGCTCCTCCCCTCCAATCTTGCACAGGCGTATCGGATCCTCCCCTTCAGTCTTGCACAGGGTGTACCGGCTCCTCCCCTCTAGTCTTGCCCCGGTGTACCGGCTCCTCCCCTCTAGTCTTGCACAGGTGTACTGACTCCTCCCCTCCAGTCTTGCACAGGTGTATTGGCTCCTCCTCACCTGGACTGAATCTGCTTCCTCTGATATGACGGCACACTAGGAGCTTCTCACAATGTGCATTAAGCTGCAGCCAGTCAGATAGAGCTCCGCCTCATTTCCTGACTGGAGGACGTCCAGCATCATCTAGCTATTTCCCCCCAGCCTGATTTTTCCCTGGCCCCGCCCCTTTCTTTCACTGGATTTCAGTTCTTCCAATCATGGAGGCTCAGCATCACATGTGGGGGTAATTTATATAAATATGGCTTGGCTAGTGACGCCCACTCCTCCAGACTGACACTTGCCCATCAAGGCATTGCAATATTTGCATAACTCCTCCCACTGGCTTGCATCATGACTGTGGCTCTTGAGAGGAGTATTGAAGCAGGGGGCTGTGATGTTTTCAGGAAGCACCCTGCCGGCCCCTCCCACCAACCATGATCTACTTGCATTGCATAGAATAGCACAGGGACCCAGTGATATTATCACTTGGTCCAAAATCAAGTAAGAAAAATGGAAAGGCTTTATTTAGCATGCTGATGGGGGGGGGGTAATAGAAGCAGATTAAAGGTCACCCTTAAAGTGTATCTCTAATCAAAAACATTTTTCTTAAGTTAACCACTTCAAGCCTGGATGCTTTCCCCCCCCCCCCTCTTCCAGTCCGGACGCTTTCTCTCCCCTCCCCCCCCTCTTCCAGTCCAGAGGCTTCCCCTCCCCCCCCCCCCCCCCCTTCCCCTTCCAGTCCAGACACTTCCCCCCCCCCCCCCCCCCTTCCAGCTCAGGCCAATTATCAGCTTTCACACCTTGAGTGACAATTGCAGGGCTGAGCAACACAGTACCCATAAGAAATTATCATTTTTTTGAGACAGACAGAGCTTTCTTTTGGTAGTATTTGTTCACCACTGGGTTTGTTATTTTGTGCTATATAAATGAAAAAAAAAAAAGTGTTTGTTTAGTTTTTGCCAATCAATATTTCTTCCTAAATTTAGACCAAAATGTTATCTGCTACATATTGGGAGTAAAAATAACCCAAAACGTGTGTATATTATATAGTTTGTGTGACAGTTATACAGTCTACTATGGGATATATATTTGAAAATTGATCAGTTGAGACCCTAAAATGCTGGAACATGGTACGGGGTAATATGGCGATGATCAGGACGCCGGTATGGGGTATGGAGTGATCAGGACGCTGGTATGGGGTATGGAGGTGATCAGGACGCTGGTATGGGGTATGGAAGTGATCAGGATGCTGGTATGGGGTATGACGATGATCAGGACGCTGGTATGGGGTATGGAGGTGATCAGGACGCTGGTATGGGGTATGACGATGATCAGGACGCTGGTATGGGGTATGGAGGTGATCAGGACGCTGGTATGGGGTATGGAGGTGATCAGGACGCTGGTATGGGGTATGGAAGTGATCAGGACGCTGGTATGGGGTATGGAGGTGACCAGGATGCTGGTATGGGGTATGGAGGTGATCAGGATGCTGGTATGGGGTATGGAGGTGATCAGGACGCTGGTATGGAAGTGATCAGGACGCTGGTATGGGGTATGGAGGTGATCAGGATGCTGGTATGGGGTATGGAGGTGATCAGGACGCTGGTATGGAAGTGATCAGGACGCTGGTATGGGGTATGGAGGTGATCAGGACGCTGGTATGGGGTATGGAGGTGATCAGGATGCTGGTATGGGGTATGGAAGTGATCAGGACGCTGGTATGGGGTATGGAGGTGATCAGGACGCCGGTATGGAGGTGACCAGGACGCCGGTATGGGGTATGGAGGTGATCAGGACGCCGGTATGGAGGTGATTCAGGACGCCGGTATGGGGTATGGAGGTGATCAGGACGCCGGTATGGAGGTGATCAGGACGCCGGTATGGGGTATGGAGGTGATCAGGACGCCGGTATGGGGTATGGAAGTGACCAGGACGCCGGTATGGGGTATGGCGGTGATCAGGACGCCGGTATGGAAGTGACCAGGATGCTGGTATGGGGTATGGAGGTGATCAGGACGCCGGTATGGGGTATGGAAGTGACCAGGACGCTGGTATGGGGTATGGAAGTGACCAGGACGCTGGTATGGGGTATGGAGGTGATCAGGACGCTGGTATGGGGTATGGGGTGATCAGGACGCCGGTATGGAAGTGACCAGGATGCTGGTATGGGGTATGGAGGTGATCAGGACACCGTTATGGGGTATGGAGGTGATCAGGACCCTGGTATGGGGGTATGGCGGTGATCGGTATGGCGGTGATCAGGACGCCGGTATGGAAGTGACCAGGATGCTGGTATGGGGTATGGAAGTGATCAGGACGCTGGTATGGGGTATGGAGGTGATCAGGACGCTGGTATGGCGGTGATCAGGACGCCGGTATGGAAGTGATCAGGATGCTGGTATGGGGTATGGAGGTGATCAGGATGCGGGTATGGGGTATGGAGGTGATCAGGACGCCGATATGGAAGTGACCAGGATGCTGGTATGGGGGTATGGAAGTGATCAGGACGCTGGTATGGGGTATGGAGGTGACCAGGACGCCGGTATGGGGTATGGAGGTGACCAGGACGCCGGTATGGGGTATGGAGGTGACCAGGACGCGGTATGGGGTATGGGGTATGGTAGGTGATCAGGACGCCGGTATGGGGTATGGGAGGTGATCAGGACGCCGGTATGGGGTATGGAGGTGATCAGGACGCCGGTATGGGGTATGGAAGTGACCAGGACGCCGGTATGGGGTATGGAGGTGACCAGGACGCCGGTATGGGGTATGGAGGTGATCAGGACGCCGGTATGGGGTATGGAAGTGACCAGGACGCCGGTATGGGGTATGGTGGTGATCAGGACGCCGGTATGGGGTATGGCGGTGATCAGGACGCCGGTATGGGGTATGGCGGTGATCAGGACGCCGGTATGGGGTATGGCGGTGATCAGGACGCCGGTATGGGGTATGGCGGTGATCAGGACGCCGGTATGGAAGTGACCAGGATGCTGGTATGGGGTATGGAGGTGATCAGGACGCCGGTATGGGGTATGGAGGTGATCAGGACGCCGGTATGGGGTATGGCGGTGATCAGGACGCCTGGTATGGGGTATGGAGGTGATCAGAACCCTGGTATGGGGTATGGCGGTGATCAGGACGCCGGTATGGAAGTGACCAGGATGCTGGTATGGGGTATGGAGGTGATCAGGACGCTGGTATGGGGCATGGAGGTGATCAGGACGCTGGTATGGGGCATGGAAGTGACCAGGACGCTGGTATGGAAGTGATCAGGATGCTGGTATGGGGTGTGGCGGTGATCAGGACGCCGGTATGGGGTATGGAGGTGATCAGGACGCCGGTATGGGGGTATGGCATGATCAGGACGCCGGTATGGAAGTGATCTGGATGCTGGTATGGGGTATGGCGGTGATCAGAGCGCTGGTATGGGGTGTGGCGGTGATCAGGACGCCGGTATGGGGTATGGCGATGATCAGGACGCCGGTATGGAAGTGATCTGGATGCTGGTATGGGGTATGGCGGTGATCAGAGCGCTGGTATGGGGTGTGTGGCGGTGATCAGGACGCCGGTATGGGGTATGGCGATGATCAGGACGCCGGTATGGAAGTGATCTGGATGCTGGTATGGGGTATGGCGGTGATCAGAGCGCTGGTATGGGGTGTGGCGGTGATCAGGACGCCGGTATGGGGTATGGCGGTGATCAGGACGCCGGTATGGGGTATGGCGGTGATCAGGACGCCGGTATGGGGTATGGCGGTGATCAGGACGCCGGTATGGGGTATGGAGGTGATCAGAACCCTGGTATGGGGTATGGCGGTGATCAGGACGCCGGTATGGAAGTGATCTGGATGCTGGTATGGGGTATGGCGGTGATCAGAGCGCTGGTATGGGGTGTGGCGGTGATCAGGACGCCTGGTACAGGACATAGGTGACAGGACTGGCTGCATGTTTAGACTACAATGGGCAGTGATCAGGGACACGGGGTGGCTGGCATGCCAGTCTGAGTGCACATATATCCTGACAGGCTGCTGTACGCTCACAAACTGCTGCATCGCTTCTCTCTGCTCCTCACACTGAGAGAACTGATCTTTACTTTCACTGTTTACCATGTGAGTGCTGTGATTGGTCACAGCAGTCACATAGTAAAACACCATGTGAACACCCGGCCACAGCAGTCATGTGATCCGTTGTGGCCAAGCGACATTCAGATCACCAGGCTCCTGGATGCACACTCTGTAACCAGGAGCCAATCGATGCGCACTGATGTACCTGCATCTGCAAAGCTTCTCCTCTGCCGTCTATAGGCAATGGGCAGACAGGAAGAGGATAAAGCGTTACTAAACCCACAACAGCAAAGCATGCTTATTATACTCACTGTGGTACCTAAGGGGTTAATCCTCCGCATTGTGTAAAAAGGCTGTTTGATCCTGTCTTCCCTGATCCTCACCTTCTTCCAGTGTTCCCCTCTTATCTCCTAATAAGATAGTGTGCAGTCACTATGTTCAGTTTGGGGTGTATTGCTAGGTTTTTCTCTTCGGAGAGTGTATGTGACCAGACAGAGGGTCAGGGGTTCTGTATCTTCCTATAGCAGAATGAAAGCTCCTCCTACAACTTTAACCAGTGCTCTGCTGGACACTGATAGAAGTCACAAGACTGCTCTATACCGCTGATGAGAAAAGGGATTTAGCAGTTTATAGTTACTAAAATAAGTGCATTTCTGTGTACTGTGGGAGAGCGGACATAGTGAACGCGGGGTCCGGGGGGAGAGCGGACATAGCGAACGCGGGGTCCGGGGAGAGCGGACATAGCGAAACGCGGGGTCCGGGGAGAGCGGACATAGCGAACGCGGGGTCCGGGGGAGAGCGGACATAGCGAACGCGGGGTCCGGGGGAGCGGACATAGCGAACGCGGGGTCCGGGGAGAGCGGACATAGCGAACGCGGGGTCCGGGGAGAGAGCGGACATAGCGAACGCGGGGTCCGGGAGAGAGCGGACATAGCGAAGGCGGGGTCCGGGGAGAGCGGACATAGCGAACGCGGGGTCCGGGGAGAGCGGACATAGCGAAGGCGGGGTCCGGGGAGCGGACATAGCGAAGGCGGGGTCCGGGGAGAGCGGACATAGCGAAGGCGGGTCCGGGGAGAGCGGACATAGCGAAGGCGGGGTCCGGGGAGAGCGGACATAGCGAAGCGAAGGCGGGGTCCGGGGAGAGCGGACATAGCGAAGGCGGGGTCCGGGGAGAGCGGACATAGCAAAGGCGGGGTCCGGGGAGAGAGGACATAGCGAAGGCGGGGTCCGGGGAGAGCGGACATAGCGAAGGCGGGGTCCGGGGAGAGCGGATAGCGAAGGCGGGGTCCGGGGAGAGCGGGTATAGCAGGGTCCCAACATAGCGAATGGCGACAGTGGTGTCTCGGAGGGGCGGATATGGCGACGGCGGGGCCCGGGGAGAGCGGACATAGCGAAGGCGGGGTCCGGGGAGAGCGGACATAGCAGGCGGGGTCCGGGGAAGCGGACATAGCGAGGGTCCGGGGAGAGCGGACATAGCAAAGGCGGGGTCCGGGGAGAGCGGACATAGCGAAGGCGGGGCGAGAGCGGACATAGCGAAGGCGGGGTCCGGGGGGGAGAGCGGACATAGCGAAGGCGGGGTCGGGGAGAGCGGACATAGCGAAGGCGGGGTCCGGGGAGAGCGGGTATAGCAGGGTCCAAGGAGGGTGGCTATAGCGGGTGCATATGGCGACAGTGGTGTCTCGGGAGGGCGGATATGGCGACGGCGGGGCCCGGGGAGAGCCAAATATAGCAGCTGCGGGGTCTGAGGTTTAGTAACACTAAGGATTAAGAAGGAAATTATTACAACTCCTGCCAGGTTTTATATCTTCAGTGTCATGTTAGGGGGATTTCCTTTCACTTCCCATCCTGGACAGGAAGGGGTTGATTTACTAAAACTGGAGCACTCAGAATCTGGGTCAGCTCTGCATGGCAGTCAATCAGCTTCCAGCTTCAGCATGTTCAGGTAAGCTTTGGCAATAAAACCTGGAAGCAGATTGGTTTCTATGCACAGCTGCACCAGATTTGTAATTCTCCCCCTCGCAGTCCTCAGGAACAGGTTTCTCCCCATTGGAAGACTTGTCCTCATTTCCTATTCCGGTGACAACTCTAAAACTTTGTATTTCTCATCACTTCCTGTCTAGATCTGAAATACCAGCTCCAGGCACACCCCTCATATCACAAACCATCAAAAAAAAAAAAAAAACAGACACAGAGTGAACATTTCTACATTTTATTATTTAAAACTTTGTGAACAATTTCAGAGAAAAGAGAAAAATAAAAACTAATAAACTTGAGTAAAGAGGCGGGAGGGGCTCCAGCAGGGGGGAGGGGCAACTTACACAAACTCCCCAAAATTCAGGGCGTGGAATGAATTCATTGGCTGGATCTGTAAACTGAGCGCTAACCGTCAGAGTAAATCCCGCCCATCACCGGGGTGGGGGGTGGTCTCTGATGTGCACACACCAGACATACATCAGGCTGGCTGCTGCCTACATGCAACAGAGGAAGGAATTATGTAGACAAAGACAACGTTCGGCTTCCCAATCACTGGGAACACCAAGTGACATCACCAGTTCCCCGGAAATTGATTGGCTACAGCCTCCCGCATGTTGGTTTGGAATACTTCGAGTTACAG